TTTAAATTAAATTTAAATATAATCCCAATTAATAAATATATTAAAAATAAAAATAAAAACAAAAAACTCAAATTTAAAATTATATATACTAATTAAATTCTTTGTAATTGCAAATGCCCTAATAAAATTTAGATATTTTAATTTAAAAGGCTCATATTTAAATTTGATGATAAGTATATAAAAGATTTTCCTATGAATTTAAACTTTTTTAGGTTTTCTCTTCTTTTTTTTTTTTTTTTTAATTATGCCAGTTATTATTAATTAAAATTCCATTTTCACTAAAATCGTTAAAATCTCCCCAAAAAATGAACCAAACGAGCACGAGGACTTTCCTCCCCATGCATTCCGTACCAGAAGCTGTGCAGTCCTTGAAGATGGACTCCACCATCGCCGTCACCTCATCCTCCCTGATCGGCCTCAGCGCTTCCAGCCTCTTCGGTGTGAACAGCTCCAGCGTACACACTTTCCTCACCTTCACATAGTGCGGTCCATAGTCCGCCCAAATCAGATCCTTCCCGTCGCGACTGAACCTCGCCGCCGATCGGCTCCGGTGCCGGTTCGCCAACTGGTGATCGTGCTCCTTCAGCACTTCCTTCGCCAGTTCCGTATTCGACACGATAACGTTTAAAGTCGACCCGAACCACACGGAAATTATCGGACCGTACTCCCGCGCCCAATCCGCATAGCACCGGAACCTCACCGGCTTGATGTCGTAGAGATTCCCGACGATCGGCCACGCCCGTGGGCCTGGCGGAAGCTTGAATCTGAACCGTCGGATGAGAACAAACGCGAGGAAGGCGAGAAGAATGGCGATCGGAATAAGAGGCACTGCCATTTTTGAAAAACAAACCGGTGATTTTGATGGAGGGCTGAGGAAGGAGTGAATTTATATACACCCAATGTGGGAGGGAGTTGGTGAATGCCGGCATTGTTTTGAATGATACGAACACCTGGGCGGGTGAGTTGGTTTCGTGAAAGGCGAATAGGAAGATGACACGTCAGAGAAAGGTGGCGGGGTGACACGGATTCTGCACTTTGGGTAGTGTCTTTATCACTGCGGTTGGTGAACCGGTGCGGTCTTCTTTGTGGGCGGAGCGGCACATAGATAAATTGGAGGACTTTAAAAATATGAAAAACAAGGGAAAAAAAGGGTGGAGAAGAAATAAGTGATTTCTGGGCAAGTGGCGCCAAAACCAACCAACTCCATAGCAAGGCAAAACCCCAAAATCCAACACGAAAGTAGGATAGATTCATCCTTAAAAAAATAGTAAAAATAAATTATTTATTTTTTAATAAAAAATATTAAAATTTTATTTGTAATATCAATATTTTTTATCAAAAAAATATTAAAAAATAAATAATTTATCTTGATTCATAATATAAAAAAATAATTTATTTTTATATTTTTTTGAAAAGTAAATTTATTCTTGCCCGATCTATCTGAGGGGTGGGTTTAGAGATTATGCAAAAACCATAACAAGATAGGATTACATCCTTCGT